TGTTTTGAGAGATATTTGTGCATCGATGGTAACGTGGAAGCAAATATTTTCATTTGGGATATGGAACAATTCTGTATATTTTGAAAGATCCCCGAGACGTGTGTCTGACCGAGCTGTGATCGAGATTTGGAGGACACGATCCCTAAGTGGCAACCTGACGATGGTCCTTGTTCATCCACTAAGTGGCAACCTGACGATGAAAATTTTATTTTTATGGTTTTTGAATAAACATCGTTCATCCACGAAGTGACAATCTGACAAGGATTAAATATTTTGATAACGATTTGTTTTGGTATATATTGAATTGAACATCGTTCATCCACTTTAGGAGGTCAGTCTAAGGGACTGATATTACCCAGCCTATGGTGAAAAATTGGCATCGTTGAGACATAACTCCCAGCGTGGGTTGTTGACCAAGTATAACCAGGCAGCGGACCTTCCGGTTTGGCCTCGAGTTCAGACCTGAAGGGTAGCCACCCTGATGAAGGAATCAGCTCAGGTAGTTACCGAAGGGGTCGACTGTAGTCTTTGACATATGTGAAAATTTTGATGATAGGACTTACCCGTCATTGCGCAACCAATACAGGGACTACCGTTAATATAACAACACGGTGGGCCACAGATCTGGCCCGACCAACCGAACTGTGGTGGGTTTAGACAAAGACCGTCGATCCCCTCGCATTAGACTACGGGTGGGACGGTAATATGGTTTTGGTTGAGACCCGCGTCCAAAGGGTTAGATTCTCTGACCCTACGAACAACCAACGAGGATCTGGGAAGAAAGTCTAAAGATGTGGAAAAGATGATCAGTGTCTCTCCTGATGTTTTTCACCATTGTAGTACAAATTCAGTATCCCAACCACCGGTTCATTGAGTTTCGTTTTGGGAGTTTCAGTATGTGGGAGACCCGGGTTAGAATCCCGGAAATGGTAGAATATATCAAGGGAGGCAATGTGAGTCTTTTACCTCGTCTCAATCCAGTGACTCGGATTTGGCTCTCCACTTATCAAAGATACGCCTTATTTCGGGAAAGGAATTTATCTTCTCTTTCAAAAGAGAGAGAGAGAGGTACATGTATTGTTTTGTATTGTATCATTTGTCCAGTGACGTTGTCGATCATGTCATATTTTATTAGTTGATTTGATCACGGGGAACGATCTAAGGGGTATGAATGATCATGATAAATGTCCCTAGCGACGGGGATGTTGCTCAATAAGGTCTGGGAATATTGTCAGACCAAATACCCTTACAAGGGTATTTGGCCATGTTTTTACATTCGACACACCGATCGCACCGACTGCCATGTAAGTCGGTCTTGACTTACAAGCGTATGCATTTTCGCACGACACTTTGAAACGATTTCCTCGACCATTGAGGCTGGGGCAAATCGGTGAGAAAATTTCGAGAGTATGAGTGCGTGTTGTTATGACGCGCGCTGTGATGGTTAGGATTGGTCGTAATACCCTCCGACTGAAAAGGTCGAGGGGTTCATTGGGTTAATATTGTGTCGGGTAGATATACGACACACCTTGAGACTTGGACTGATACTGTCTACCTACCGGTACTGAGCGTCTAAAAATGTCAGGTTTTCTTCTTCTTCTGCTCGGCCCCGAGTACCCGGCGCATCTACCTCTACGTGGTGTGGTACCGGCGTCCCTGCTACTTGAGTGTTGTTTGTTGCTCTCAAGTGTCGCGGGCTTCTTTCCCCACCACTTGAGTGTTTTCCTCGCCGCGACCCTCAATGTCATGGCTACAGGTAAGTACCGGCCTTCGAGCCTTCCAATCAACCAAATGCCTTGTGGGACACACACACACTCAAGCCGACAAGCGCTCAAACAGGCGCGTAGACCAGCAAGCGGACACGCACCACACATATTTAGAAATCGGCTCGGGCCACAGGGCCAACCGAGCCCCACTACTCAATATCGACCTGAGCAGCTCCTCTTCAAACCGAAGTAGGAGCTAACTCAATAGGTTTCGAGGTGGATTGTTAAACAGGAGACACAGGGATCGAGTCCACCCAACCCGACCTTGAGCTAGCTCCTTTTGAAAGGGAGCTCTACTTTTGTTTTACCCGGTTTCGGACGACCCGGGCTCGAACCCACGACCTCCTGAATGCCACTTGCGTGCCTAACCGACTGAGCTAGGTTGTTGCTTTTAGTTAGTTAGTTGTAGCCCATCGTAGAGGTTAGATTGTG